TGTGGACTAGCGTCCAGGCTGAAAGAAAAGAGAGGATTTTAATTTTTTTGTTGTGGCCAGAAATGGGCTTTTCTTCCAAAACTCTGAATCCTGTTTTGGGAAGATGGCGGTTTTCAAGTGTACAAGTGCACAAAATGTAACCGTTCCGGCAATCTGTCTTAATTAAAATCACGAGCACTAGCTGACTTCTCATTGAAAGCCAATGGGCAGGAGTGGCTAGAGAATTCGTTTGCTTGTGAGGTCTACCATTATCTTCTACAGGGGAACTGTGGGAAAGCGGAATTCCCCTTGTGAGGAAATGACCGCAGGGGTTGGTTGATGCCAGAAGGATAGTAGTTAGCAGCATTATTTGGTTGCTGAGTAACTCACACCAGCGTCCTGTGGTTGCTAACTGGTGTCTTCATGGCTGCTAACTGGCTAGCAGTCTTTCCTTATGGGCTTAAATGGGATCTTGCAGGGCAGTGACTAAGGTCTCACCCCGTCATTTTCTACAGGGATGGGAATTTTTTCACCCAAATCAATTGCAGTGCTGGAGCAGTTGAGGTTAGTTGCCCTTGAAGGAGTAGCAGCTCACGCGACCCGACAGCTTTTCTCTCCTCGGTGCTAAGCAGCAGTGGCTCCAGAAAGTGGCCACCGCTTTACAAAGAGCTGGCTGGATGCCAGGCATTTGGGACCCAGCTCTTCCATGGAAAGATGCAAGGGCTGCGCTGTACGTGTACCATTCTACTGCGCATAGAGTGGACAGGCAGATGAGCAGAGCAGTGACAGCGCTGTTACTGGTGTCATTTATACCGCTAGGCCAAGCCTATGGCAGGGAAGGGAGGGACGTGAATGAGTGGGGTATAGTGATTAAAGTGTTAAACCAAGACTAGGGATTCAGGTTCAAATCTCCATCGTCTTACTTGACTCTTCCAGACCTATAGTTTCATGAGTTAGTCTTGGAAAAGGATTCTGTTTCTAAAATGAAGTTTGGAATAAATTGATTGTTTTTAAATAATCCAGCTAAGGGCCAAATCTTGCCATGGTTACTAAATGAAATCCAATTTAATGTTTATCCCTGATTTAAGTGGTTCTAGTTTATCTGTTTTTGCTGCCTCGGAAAGAAGCAGAAAGAGGCTGAGTCACAGGCAGGAGAAGGCGAGGGGGAGCTGGTTGTGGCCACAGCGTCAGAGTGGGGAGCCCTTTCCTTTTAAATATCTTCGTGGCCCCAGCATGAAATTCCACTGCCTAATTGGAGTTGCCAGAAACAGCATGTGGTGAACAAAGGGTGCAAGAGGGGCATTGTGAATGAGTGAGTGGGCAGAAAAAAAAAGCCTTTGCTATGGTGACATACAGTGGGTGAGAGGAAGTAAACATCGCTAGGAGATTCTGTCAGAAAAATAAAGGTGGTGGGAATTTGAAGAAGTTACCACTCATAAGCAGGGGGTGCTAATGCAAGGATATAAGAGTATATTCCTTTCTGTTGTGTGATGACACTTGTTTTCCACTTTTAACCATGCTTCTTGATTCTCAGTGAGTGTGGAGAGCCAGAACATGCAAGTAAGTATTCTGTAGTACATAAAAATGTTTTGCATATACTTAGAGGCACTCAGGGTATTTTTGGTTAAGAATTCTCCAACATGGATGGATCAGTTTTTGCAGCATACTTTGGTATTCCACTAGATCGGAGTCCTCTAACTGCAATAAAGTCATCCTTCATTATTAAGCCTTTTCAGTCCAGACAAACATCTCACAGCTTCTGAAAGATCAGTGGAGAAACTCAGTGTTGATATGCAGGGGAGAGAAAGGAAGAGAATTGAAGGGGGCGATAAATGCAGATCAGCAATAAAGTTTTATTGAATGGGTTCTTAGGTCCAAAAGTTAGAGGATCGTTCCCCAACTTGGTACTTTCCAGATGTGCTCGAGTAGAAATCTTACCATCTTCAGCCACAAGCTGAATTGTGGCATTCTTTAGACCAAAGCATGGAGGAAAGTATTCTCGAAGGCTTTCATGGCTGGGATCTGATGGTTGTTGTGGGTTTTTCGGGCTCTTTGGCTGTGTTCTGAAGGTTCTTCTTCCTAATGTTTCGCCAGTCTCTGTGGCCGGCCTCTTCAGAGGACTGGAGTAGGAACATAGAGCATGGACAGAGTTCCTACTCCAGTCCTCTGAAGATGTCGGCCACAGAGACTGGCGAAACGTCGGGAAGAACAACCTTCAGAACACGGCCAAAGAGCCCAAAAAACCCACAACAACCATGGGGGGAAGTGCTCGTTTGGGAAAGCTGATTTAAAATACAAAAGGGGGCAATCTGAAGGACCAAGCTGCAAAATGATACTAGGAGGAACGGTGCACTCTTGTCTCCACGGTTATCCTTTCACATAACTAAAAAGTTAGTAGTTAGTTTAGTATAGAGCAAGCTGGGGATTGGCCATGTTGAAAAGAGTTGAGGTTTATGCTTACAAATAGCAGATATCTCCTTAGGAAAACACAGAAAAGTCCAGCAGCTCATGCTATAGGTCAGGATACTGACTGTGATTTTAATGGGATGAGTTAAACACGTTACCTACTAAAGTTAACTATGAAAAATTAGGGTTTGGGGTCCTCTAGCTAAAAATGTCAGTCTGACTGCATAACTCTGTGGGTTAAATACCTGGCTGTGGAGCCAATGGTTGGGAGTTCAATTCCTGCACCTCCTGTGAGTACAGCCAGCCTGGGTGGCCCTGGGCAAGCTGCACAGTCCCAAGGTACCTCCAGAAGAAGGGAATGGGAAACCACCTCTGAGCAGTCTCTACCTGGAAAATCCTGGAAAGGGTTGCAATAAGTCAGAATTGACTCGATGGTACATGATGAGCATTATGAGATAGTGTGGTGGAGTGGACTAGAACTCTGCAGACCAAGATTCAAATCCCTGCGCAGCTGTAGAAGCTCACTGGGGGAGTGGAACTGGTAAAACCCCACCTGAAATATTTTACTTACCTTGCAAGTCCTGTTAGGGTCGCTATAAGTCAGTGAAAGCACATAGCAACAACAGCTAAAATTCTAACTAATTAGGCTCCACCCACAATACTTCATGCTCTGCCCTATAGCATGTACGAGTGCGGTCTGTCTCCCCACCCCAGCCAGCGACCTATGCAATTGAAATATGCCCCTATTAACATGCTGCTTGTAATGGCACCTGGGGTATTGTTTTTGATATGGTACTTCTGGCATCCCCTGGAAGACTGAGAACAGCTGTGGTATTTAATGATGGCACTGCAGATGTGCACATCCACGCATAGGACCTGTTCAGCATCATAAAGAAAAGTAGCAGCTGGGAGTGGAGCTTCAACAGGCACTTTCTATGATTAGGATGTGGAAAAGTTCTCTCTTCCATCCCTCCCTTTCTTCCTTCTTTGGACTGCATCTGCTGCAGTTCTCCAGTTACAAGGTATAGGTGATTTAAAGTCAGGTGATCTGTACTTTATTTCCCACAAGCCTGGCCCAGAAGAGGCCTGATCCAGATGCTTTTGTCACAGGGCTAGGAAACCTTGTGCTCTCCGCGGGCGTTAGATTACAGTTCCCCTAATAATGCTTGTGGTTGGCGGGGGCTTCTGGAGCTGAATTAAGACGCTGGGAAGCCAAAAGTTCTGTACCCATATTATTGTTAGACCTGATGAGGTTTCCTCAGTTGGTGTAGCTGGGTTTCACTGGGGAAGCCTGGGGTTTTTTTTAATGACTTTTTTGAACGATGAGTTCCAGAATTGCCCAGTCAGCAAGGCCGTGTGGGCGGAGGGTTTCTGGTTTTGGGTAGTCCAAAGAGAGAGAGAGAGAGAGAGAGAGGAGAGAGAGAGAGAGTCCACATTTTGATTCCCCCTTTTACTGGACAGAGCTTGTAATGAACTGGTCGAACCCCATCTTAACCCTTGCTTGGCCACTACTGGTTCGCTTGCAGCGGCCTCGAAAACTGCCACGTTCCCTGCCTGTGGCGAACGAGGCAGCCTCAGAGGGACGAGTGCTTTTAAATATTTCATCAGGGCAGTGGGCTCCTTTTCTAGCTGCCGTGTCCTGTTAGGTGTTTCCTGTCCATTTAGTAACCTAGCCGGGGAGTTCTGCACTTTAAAACAAACGTAGTAATGTTCGGCCCGCCGCACTTCATCGGCAATCAGGGGAGACCTTTATTTCTGTGTAGTTGCAGGAGCTCCAGAGTTGTACGTGTGTCGTGTCGAGTTGAACAGTTTGGATTGCTGTTGTACTTTGTCTGTTCCGATTACTCCGCTCTGGCGGAGAGCGCCTCCCCACCCCTCCTGCTGCAAATCTTGCCTCTAGTCCTGCTTTTGCTCTGCTCTGCGCCGGCTCTCTTCTTGTCCCTGCTTTGTTCCGCAAGCAATCAGGTTGTGTGCATTTGTGGGAGAATCAGAGCAAGCTGCTCCTGTAATTGCACACCTCCGGGTGGCCTCCCGTTCTGCCCGGCCTTGTCGTACGCTGAGCGTTGAGCCAAACGGGTGGCTTGACTGCTCTATGGGAATGAAACTGCCCTCTGAAGTAGCCTCTTTTATCCATATGGGAAGAGTGGGACACGTTTGGACTCTGGACCACAGGCGGCCCGAAGCCCTGTTTGGTGAGGCCACCGAGCCCTCCAGCCCTGAAAGTAAGTAGATAATGACAGTAATGAAAACTAAGCTAGGTGGAATAATAGTCTGACAATATAAGGCAATTTCATATACAGTGGTGCCTCGCTTAACGAGCGCACCGTTTAACGAAGCATCCGCATAGCGACACATTTTTTGCTTTCAAAAGAACCAGAAACTGATGTCTGTTTCTTTCCCTATTTAGTGATTTTTCCGGGTCTTGGTGTGGCCCCCACTGAATTCTTCACTGAATTAATCTCTAGTTCTACAGAGCTTGCTCCCTCCCCCACCCCCACCCCATGGGATGCGAATGAGGTAGAACTTGCTCAGAGCCCTTGGTCCTCTATGGATGGAGAGAGCTCTTCATTTCCTCTGATGAGGCCGAGTACATCACTCTCTTCTCTTCCACCCAGCAGTTCGACGTTCAAAGATTTGGAGGGGAACAGCCTGAAGGACAGCGGGCATGAAGAGAGTGACCAGACAGATAGTGAACATGACGTCCAGCGTGGCTTATACTGTGACACGGCTGTTAATGATGTTTTGAATACCAGCGTAACCTCCATGGGGTCTCAGGTGCCTGAACAAGGTAGGTTGCAACAGCTTTTACAAAGATCTTGTAGAGCGTGTGGGCTTCCATTCCTATGGGTTGGTGAGTTGTTTGGGACCTATGATGCTTCACCTGTCTCCTCAGCCTGTGGATTGTGGTGTCATGGAATGTTTAGGAACATTCCAACTTCTGGAAAACATCAACCGCCCAGCGTTGACAGAGACCGTGTCATTTCAGGGAACAAAGTGAGGCGTCTTTGGAAAAGCTCATGTTAAGTCTTACAGGCAAGGAGGATACGGGCAATAGTGTTGGGGTGAGGCTGTATAGAGGAGTCAAAAATGTGAACCCTGTCCTAGAAACCAAGGGACTAAATAAAGTGCAATGCAAAACCAAAATGAGGAGCAATTGTGTGAAAGCTCCTTTGAACTAATTAGTTGCACATTGGGCTGAAAGTTTCATCTCCGTGCTTGGATCCTGTATCTTCAAAGGGTAGTCATGTGATGACATGGTTGGATTGACCTCTTTCCTATGACCGCTGCTGTTCCAAGAGATTTAGGATGCTGCTGCTGTGTCTACCTGTGGCCATTTATGGTGGCTTTAGCAATGTCTTTTTAAAAGACTTGATGTTATAGCAGACATGGTGGTGGCAGCATTCCTGCGTGTCTCTTTTAGGAGCAGCAGAACTGGCAGGTGCCCTTGGATTTCTAAAATGACAGGGCTATCTGCTCTGGAACCCTTGCCACTTTCACCCAGATGTGTCATGATTACTCAGTGGTGAAAGAAATGTATTCCTTATATGAATGGAAGCATATCCCCACTGTATACGTCCCAAGTAGGAACCCGAGACATTGGGACATAAATGGGCAGCAATGGCTCCTTTTCCTGCATTTAATCTGTCCTCCAGGACATCTTCAGCTGATCCACTAGGAGCCACAATAGCTAAGATCCAGTCCTCTCAGTTGATTTGGTATGTGCAAAGAAGTTGCTGGCCCCAAATTCGCATCCATTCATTAAAGCAGGAAAAGAAACAACAAAAAACCGAAAGGGAGCTTTGGAAGTGTTAACACATCTGTTTCTCATTGAGGCGTGCTGTTTTGAAAGTCATGTTTGTGCTGCTTGATAAATGAGGTTGGCTTGACCTGTTGCAAAATGTTTTTCTCGGAACTGAATTCCCAAGTGATCCGTTTTGCCCATTGCAAAGCTGTTTCCCAACTCGGCTCAGGACCTTTTTTGAAACGGGTTCCTTCCCTTGGCACTTACAAACTTAGATCCCTCTGGAAGAGGCCAATAAAAGATGGGAAGTGTTGTACAAATGTATATTCAAAGCTAGTCTGCAAAACTGTAGTGTATTGATGGCGGTGTTCATGTCTGAATGCACATGTGCGTGCTTGAGCAGACATGTGTAGCCACACTCATAGCTTGCATTTTTAAAGGATGTTTTCCTGATTTTCTACTGCTTATCCTCCAATCACAATATGATCAAGGTTTGCCAAAGGAGAATTCCCACGCCATCAGATAGATTACATGTGTGGCTTTGTGTTTTTATTCATGTATTCATTTACTCCCCTTTTAGACAGCCAAATAACCAGAGATCTCTGGGGCATGTACAGTATATTGAAACACAAAACACAGATGACAAACAATGATACAAAACTGCACATTGTAATGCCCCGATGAAATGAGCATCAAAAAAAGAAAAAGCCACAGCTCATCCATCCGAAAGAAAACCAATAGCAATGGAATGGTACACAAAGATGTAAAATCATTAAAAGGAATTCAAGTAAAAACTCTGCATCTGATGTCTAAGATACCATAGGAACTTAGTATGTCTCTCTGGGGGAAGTCATTCCCCAGATGTGGTGCCACCACTGGGAAGGCCTTTGCACATGCCTTGCTTCATTCTGTAGGGTGCACACTGTATGGGAAAGTAGCTAGAGGAAGAAATCCTCCTTCATTTGTTCTCTGGAATGCTGGGTGTGGTCGTTATATTTCCTTAACAGTGAACTCAAGTGCTGATTTATGATGACTTTGAGAAACAAGAAGGAAGTGTCACCATATATGGGGAAAAGCTAAGACTCTTAAGGGAGAAAAGAAATCTGATGGCAAGGGCAAGAACATTCTCTCCCCGCAGTTCTGTGATCGGGGTTTCCAGAGGAGCTTGGGCTTTTAACTGCCCTTTAAAATCTCCTTTGACTTGGGTTCTGTTACACCATTGCTTTCATTTTCAAAGTGAGTTTGTTTGAACTGTCATCTTTTTTAATCCCTGAAGTTCCAAAACAGTATTGGCTACTTTAGATATTTCATATTTGATTTGGATGCTACTGCAGGCTTCCATGCTTTGCTTCAGATTGGTGTAGAAACTGACAAATACCCTTGCTTCACTTTGGATTCCAAATAACTTTTGAACCCAAGAACTTGTTCTTAGTTATGCATGTGGAAATCCCCCACATGTTACTGGCCTTACCTCTCACCTGTTTTCCTGACTGGGGATTGCATATGGGCAGATGAAACCAGCATAATTTAGAACAACAACAACAACAGTTAGTAAACCTGGGAGATTAAAATACATGCATACACATGGGACAATTAACTCTTTTAACCAAGCATCCTCTTTAAAATGCCTTGTTTTTACATACTTCTTAAATGAAAATAATGGTTGGAGTCCATAGTGTATTGGGAAAATGCTTCACAAAGCAGGTATAACCACAGGGAATACATATCTCTCTCTGTTGGAAAAGCTTTTTTTAAAAAAGATTTTTTTTACAAGTTTCAGACTCCTTAATTATTAATTTTTGTTAGTTTGAGATTTTTCAAACAATTTGGGCTTTGGACTGTATGTGCAGCAGATTCCTGCTTCTTAATTGTTTTGTAAAGGGCAACAGAAAGTCCTGTTACACACCAACCCAGGTCTGGAATCTTGACGAAATAGTCGCATGTGCAATGTGAATTGTGCGGGTGGGTTTCAAAATTCCTTGTCAAACCGTTTTGCGTTAAAGCAGGCTGAGTTGGTGAGAACAAAGAATACATACAATATTCTTCACAATATTTTAGTCATCTGAAATTACAGGACCTGAGAATGTTTAATTTTGGAAAGGGGAGCAGGGAATGTACCATCTTTCTCCATTATACTCCCAGAATTGGCTATTTTTTTTAAAAAAAGTCACTATGTATTAGAAGCTTAATCAAATAGTTTTGAATAGACCTTAGAGTCTCCCCTAAATTGGAGGTTCTTCACCTTTAAAAGATCATAAAGATTAAAAAGCCACTATAATCTTAAATGTAACAAGGCCACTTGTATTAAGATGAGGGAAATAACTAGGTGTCTGAGAAGGAGAGAAAGAGGGCTTTGCCTTAGACTAGCTTCTGTATTTTTCCTTCAAGCACCCTTCAAGCATTTTTTTAATCGTCTCCTGCTCTCTGTATGTATTAATCATTTATCCCACAGAATAACAACCCCCAATGGATGTCACATAAGAGCTGGCCTTCATTATCGGCAAGCTTAACAACCATTTTTGGATCCTGTCTTTGCATAGGAATAGTTGAAAAGCTTTTGGTAACACAAAAAAATATGAGGCTGTGACGTGCAGTGGGACTAGCCCTACCATTAGGCAAGAGATACCGGGCAGCATAAAAGGTTAAGAAATGGTTAGTTATTTGCCTTGCTAGTCTTGTATTTTAACTGCTAGGGATGGGGAGAGATGCTCAGGAGGCTGTGCAGGTACCAAGGGAAGTTGGCTGATTTTTGATACTTACAGTATCTTGACATTGGTGGCGGATGCTGATGGTGGACATTGGTGTCGTTTGCTGTCCCCAAAACTCTGTGGCCCAGAGTGGGAACACAGGGGCCCAATATGATGGAATCTGGAAAGAGACTTTTAGCAGGGTGCGAAGCAGGAGAGTTACTTAGATACCACCAAAACCTGAGCACACCAGGAAAGAAACCCATGAGCATAAAATCTTGTATCTGTAATTTATAGTATGTGTTGTTGTTTAGTCATTCAGTCATGTCCGACTCTTCGTGACCCCATGGACCAGAGCACGCCAGGTCCTCCTGCCTTCCACTGCCTCCTGGAGTTGGGTCAAATTCATGTTGGTCGCTTCGATGATACTGTCCAACCATCTCGTCCTCTGTCGTCCCCTTCTCCTCTTGCCTTCACACTTTCCCAACATCAGGGTCTTTTCCAGGGAGTATGTACTGTACATACAGTATAGTATGTACTGATTCAAAATTAGATTTACAAAAAAAAATAATGTTGACTGAATTACAGTGCCTTTCAGTCTAAGGGGGAAGGGAGTGGACAGCTGACTGGTGTGCCTGTTGGATCTGTTGTAAAAGGTAAAGGTTCCCCTTGACATTTTTTGTCCAGTCGTGTTCGACTCTAGGGGGCGGTGCTCATCCCCGT